GAAACCTCTCTCCAAGGCTCTCCTCCCTCTTTTAAAATCCCTGCCAGTACCTATATAATTATGTCTCACTTCTGACAGTCAGGAGCCAGGCGTCTCTGTACATTTAACCAACAGAAGCCAGAAGGAACCAACGAGAAGTCAAGACAACTTTCCAACACCAGGGATCTCGGTATTTTCTGGGCTTTGTGTTGTTGGGGGAGTCAGGTGAAATCTGCTGAGACAAGCATCCTGAATATTTACAGATCATGGAGAACTGCTGCTCACCAGAAGAGTCTAAGAACTGCATGCCCTTTAAAAGTTCAGGTCAAATCTTGTAACCAGGAGCCCCGAGGGCAAGTCCAGATACACTGTGGCCCTGGAATCAAACAGTCGCAGAACAAAACATGGAAGCAGCGTGTCACTGTGCCCGACATGGAAGTCTTTGACAGTCACAAATCACTGCAGGAATGCGATTCGAACTGAATTTGTGTGGAATTACCAGGTTGTCCTGTAGACTCTTAAGTAGGAGGATTTCACCTTGTTGAACTCTGCCACAGTAGGCCACAGAATCTACACGGATGTCCTCAGATAAGTTTGATGATGGGACCAATTATAACCATTTATGTATTTTTGAGAGAGAGACAGAGAGAGAGAGGGAGGGAGAGAGAAAGCAAGCGAGCATCCAAATAGGGGAGGGGCAGTGAGAGAGGGGGCAGATCATGTCAAGTGGGCTCTGGGCTGGCACCAGAAAGCCTGACATGAGGCTCGAACTCACGAACCGTGAGATCATAACTTGAGCCAAAGTCGGACACTCAACTGACTGAACCACCCAGGATGATGGGGCTAATTATAGAGCAAAGAAAAATTAGGGTTAAAAATGAGAGTCAAGAAAAAGAAAATGAGAGTTACGGAATAATGTAGAAAAAACCTAGGACCCTCAATTTTCCTTCATACCCAAGGACAAATGTTAATTGCATCTCAGGAGCAACGGTCCTTCGTTTACTGCATGTCGGTCACTATGTAAGACCTGAGAATATGCTGAACGAGAGAGACTACAACACCAGAGACACAGTAAACAAATAACTTATGACAGGCTGTGAAGAGGCACCGGGGATGGGGGTGCTGCTTACATACGGTGATCACTGAAAACCTGTCTGAGGAGGTAACATTCAGGCTGAGACCTGAAGGTGGAGGGAAGCACCACACGAGAAGAGCCAGGACGGAGGGGAGAAGCAAATGCAAAGGCTGTGGGGCAGGAAGGAGTGCACAGTGGCAGGAGAGGACCTTAACAAAATGGGGAGCACCCCGATCGTGCAAAATCTCGCCGCGCTAGGAGAGTCGGAAAATGTGAGTGCACGTAGGGGCGATGGGGATGCAAACAGGCCTTAAAGAGACGACGGAAGATTGTCTGGCCACCGGCTATGTGCCAAACCCTGTGAATCAGCTTTCAGCTTTCGCCAGATCGCTCCTTTTGTAATTCCCCTAAGTACACAGGTTGGGACACACACCTTGAAAAGAAAACAGCACCGAGGAAGAAAATAAGGCAGGGAACTTAAGCTGTGTGTCCAGTCAGAAACAAGAAAGAAGTCGGGCTCTAAAGCCCATGCTCCCCCTTCTCATCCTGGGCTCCTGTGGTTTAACTTACCACTCACCCCCCACTGGCTTCCCGCTGCCCCTCCGCTGCTCCTGTTTCTCTTTAGTTGGATATGCCTGACACGTCTCCCATCTTTTCAAGTGCGGCTCAAGTCTTGCCTCATGCGCAGAACAGCTGAGGGTGCCCCTAGGCGCAGCCGACTGCTCCCCGCTCCCCGGGGGCCTCCGGCCCTCGCCAGCAGCGCCGCCCCTGGGGCCCCTTCTTCCACTGGCATCTCTGACTCTCACCCCTGCCGGCGGCTAGCCCAGTGCTTCGCACAGAGCAGGCGTCTGAGAAGTATTTGCCCAACAACTGGATTCTCTCCAGTGAATCTGGGTCAATTGCAAACCACGGCCATTTGCACTGTGCCCAAGGAAGTCTGAAGTTTGCAGTGAAGAAGGGGGCTCTGAGACACTAAAAATGTCAATACCTGACCCCCAGTATATGGGTCAATACCTGACCCTGTTATCTAAGGTCTTTTTTGTTGCAGACTTGGCGAAGTGTGTGAGATATTTATTCATTACTGATCTAACGGTCAATGTCATCAAATGCCTGAGAAATAAGCATTCAATTCGAGTCAACAAATATTTGCTGAGTTCCCAACGGGTGTAGGACATCCAAGTTTAATGGAGACGGGGTGGGGTGAGGCAGCAAATTGCTCATGACTTAAGAGAGAAGACTGCATGCGGGAGAGGTGAAAAGGAGGTCGTTTTGTTCCGAGCCACCGTCCACCTGCGAGGCGGCTGCATCTGCCAGGATGGAGCTGGAGTGCTGGCAGAGAGCGCTGCTCACGCATGCATCCTTCGCCCCCCCCACCCTGCCCTGTCTCTCTGCGCAGCACCGAGGCTGCTGGGCACTAATGGCCTTGGAATGTTTGCCAGTGCCCAGCAAAACGGCCTTGGCATCAAGGAGACAGAGGTCTGTCAGGGAATGGCAGGGGCCCCGGTGCCCGTGGCACACAGAAGCTCGGTGAATGCCGGGGCAGAGTGGCTGCAGCAATTACTCTCCGTCGGTGCTAATCAATTTCACACCCTCTTCGATGCTGATAACAGATAATCTGGTGGGAAGCAGGCCAAGTTTCCCACCGGCCGCGAGCAGGCTGCCCCCCCTCACGCCCAGCAGCTTACTCGGTCTCCATCGGCAAAACGTCTACTCCAGCTTCCCCTCAAATGACGTAGATGACGGTGCCAACTTTGGTCTGGCAGGGGGACTCCTTCTGGGACAGATGGCAAGGGGGATGCCCTCAGGAAAAGGACTGCCCGACTAACTTAAAAGTTGACAAGAACTGCAAAGGAAGCTAGGAGCACCAAGCAGGGGCCACGGTTCCTCCAAATTCAGCAAGGTGCTTTACATACTTTATGCTTAGTGTTATAACAACCCCAAGAGGGAAGTGTTATTTCCATTTTACAGATGAGAAAACCGGAGTTTAGAGACGTCAGCTCATCTGTCTGAGGTCTCAGAGCCAGGACGTGGCAGAGCTGGGATTCAAACTCGGGGTCCTGCGACTCCCCACTCACCAACCTTTTCTCCGAGGCCGCTGCTCCTCTGTATTCGGGACAGTTCGGTCACTGATCAGCCTCTCACTCTGCTTGTCCTCCACCCCGCTGCTGAAAACTGGCAGGGTCCCTAGAGGATGTTCACTTGAACCTGAGGCACTACTTTAAGCAGAGGAGGACCTGAGAGGTCACCTCTGCTGCTACATTTCAGTTAGGGAACGGGCTACATGAAGCATGGTTTGACGAGCCACGGCCAGGCAGGGACTGAGAGGCGGTGCTTGCCTAAAATTCCAGGTCTCTAGACTCCCAGGTGCTCTCTCTCTCCCTGAAAACTTCCTCTAGCAGATAACACGGGTCTTCAGCCAGAGCTGGAGTTCTAACTGTCTCATGGCTGTGTCCCTCCAAAAGTCCAGGGAAATTTCAGTTTGTTTCTAATTATCATTCAGATGAAGAAAAAGAAGCCATCACTCTGGCACTTAAATAGTCACTAAGCGGCCCTCCTCATAAGTTACCGGAAAGGGAAGAAAAGACGGAAAAGGAAACCTCAATCAAAGGACAAAATAAAGGCAGTGGGAGGGTGGAACGAAGCAACTGCGTGCGTAACATGCTGGCATCTGAAGTCCAGCCTCAGAATTCAGTCCCGGCCTTTTATCTTGCAGTAGCATCAGCGTATAAACGAAGAATGTCCCAGGCAGTCAATTCAATCAATCAACAAACATCTGAGGACTTACTAGGTTTAGGCAAATCACAAGAATGATAACCACAGCTATCTGTCCACTGGCATTCATAAATGGAGGTGCATATTTTGTAAAAAGGGAGGGGTAGATACGAGGGGTGAAGAGAAACAGGACAGACAACAGGGTCACCGTCTCCCCTCCAAGCTCTCGCTCTGGCCTGAGGCCTAGCTTGAGGGCAAATGCTAGTGTAAGTCCCTGTGCACACGGCCCGCCCCGCAGCCGGACTGTCCCAACACGATGGGACCAGGCGCTGAAACTGACTCTCCCACCAGTGAGGGTCAAAAGCCTCAAGTGCGCTTTAAGGCAAGAAGAATGAAAAGAGAATGGAGTGATACGGCAAATCAAGATCACAAGGAAAATGAAGTCTATTACAGACTTTGAAAAAAGCAAGGAAAGGATCCTCTTGCAATGTGACCAAAGACTGAGGAATGTCTCGCAGGGGTGAGAATACAGATCGACATTAAACAACAGACAAGAGTCTCTGCCCCAGTGAAGGAGACAGATGAGAAAGACAGAGGCCAGAGATGGCAGAGAACAAAACGGAATCAGGTGGAAAGTACGGAAGGCAGGACACCAGCACAGCAAACACAGTCCCTCAAGACAAAAACCTAACAAATTTCATTTTCAGCAGCTGCCAGCGGAAGAAATTAGGGTCGGTCCTCTGGAACCTGCTATGCAGGCTCCGCTGCGGTGCCTCTGAGTCTCCCTTCTCCGGGTCTCCACTTTTTCATCTGGATTCAGTGACCTCAGACTTCCTTTCCAGTTCTTGTCCCCTGAGATCACCCTTCCCTCGGGTGCTCCCCTTACGACTACAGCAGCCAGCAGGAGTTTGAACTAAGACAGACTCTGCCAGCTCGGCCAACGTGGTACCAAGTCACAGTCCTGCACTTTGCTCGTGTCAGGGGTACTCGTGCTATCACCCAGACCCTCAGGTCAGACAGGGATCCCTCCTCCGAAAGCACTTCCACTCCTATTAGAAGAGCGGTTATAACCACTGGCAGACGGTCATCCGCTCCATGCTAACACCAGGCTAGGTGGCATGGGGGGGTAGGTGGCACCTGTGCCCTTGCCTGTCCTGCGGGGAGAGAGAAGGTACAAAGAGACCCGAACGGCATGCAAGTCAACAGCCGGCAAAAGACAGGCAGGGATACGTACATGCTTCTCCCCTTCAATCTTCTTGTCGGCCACCTGCATTGCGTCCAGGTATTTAAAATGCAGCTCCATCAGTCTGTCAACCTGAAAGAGAGATGTTTCAGACATGAGTGAGAAGGAAAAAGCACACCAAGGCAAGAGAACAGTGGAGCCCCTCCCAACAGGAGGCCCCTCTACCGCTTGCTTCCGACGTCGGCTACGAGCTCTGCGTAGGAAACCAGCAGGAATGGACGGAAGAGCCAGGGCAGAGCGAGCAGACCCCTGGGGCGGATGCAGTCTGAATGCAGGCCTAGTCCCACAGAGAGGCTGCGTTTCCAGCTTGGCCAGGGCTCCCGCGAATTCAAGTTGTTAAATATAAATAAATAAATAAGAATTCAAGTCCCTTCTTGCAAAGAGAAGGAGCTTGAAGTTACATACTTGATATTCACTTAGAACTTTACAGAAATTTTTTTCCAACTGAAACCTTTCATGTTCGGATTCTACCCCAGAGCTGATCTTTTTTTAAAAAGGTCTGCGTAAAATCTCTTTAGTTGCTTTCGAGTCAGAAGAGAGTACAAGAAAAAAAAACTCTTTCAGCAACTTAAAAAAAGGCCCTGACTTTTGCTCAGCGATAACTTAAAAATCAGTTTTCAACTTAGCAAAAGTCATGCTTCAAACATGGCCTGAGGAACACTCAGTGGGTTTGAAAAAGTTTCATTTTTGCCTAAGACTTCCAAAAGACTGAACAAACACTGTGAAACCAGCCTAGACTTCTAACCTCTCTCTTTACTAGGCTGGCACAGCCACGGCTCTTGGCAACCCTGGTATTTACTCAAGAGCTTACAGTGGTTAACAGCAGATGGTGCTTCAACACGGCATCAGAGTCCAGGAGGACTGTGCCCAAACCCTCTCTGGATAATACCGACGCCCCCAAGATCTTGTATATTTCAGTTTACCGAATATTTTCGTGTCCATTATTTCCTTACACCTTACAAAAACCTGAGAATGTGGGCAGGAAAGACAGACAGTGACCCTAATTTTAAAGATGAAGAAACTGAGGCACAGATGTTAAATGTCACCAGGGTGACATGACTGCTAAGGTGTTCTACGCCTGACTTTACGATGGCCTCTTCCCCATGCTATGCTGCCAGTGAGGCTGGAAAAACTGGTCAGAGAGACAGTCATAAACCTCTCTCCGAAGTACAACAAACTTTCAGCCTTACCTGGCAGTGGGAAGGAACGAGATTATTGCATGTAATCAAAGGGACTTTCGTCCTTAATGTCATGCATCTAGAATGATCTAACTTGTGACTAGTGAGTGGTGGGATCATCGTTGAGAGTGATCGTGGGCAAATGACATGACTCTAAGCATCGGCTGCTTCTTCTGCAGATGTGAACAATACCTACACAAAGGGTAAACCACACGGTGTTGTGAGAATATAAGGGACAATATATTGTCCCACAAGAATGTAAGGGACCTGCTGAGTCACCCAATCCACAGGAATCATTAAATAGACGGTGGGTCCTATCACTGTTAAAAATCTTTTTTTGGTATGGCACACTAGATAACAACATAATATCTACCTAATCTCATTTACGTGATCATTCCCATGTTCCACAGTCCCTCTAAGGACAGGCTCAACCCTTTCCTTATGTCCACAACGGAGCCTTCATTTCCATCACCACCACCTAGTAAGGACTCATTTAATCTTCCTCTCATTGACTCTTCCTCAAGATGGGAATTAATGTGTCCATCCTACAGATAGGGAAAATGAGGCTCAGAGTGGCACACATCTTGAAAAGAGCAAAACCAGGTTCAAATCCAGATGTCGGAATCCAGAGGCTATGTTCTTAATCGCTTTGCCATGCTGTGCAACCCTTAACCCAAATGCTATTACAACCCACTCTGCCTGGGTCTAAAAATCTTCCTAAGGTGCTGGTTGCTGCCACCCTAAGGGGTTACTGTGCCCAGACGGATGTATCTGGAGATGACAGGCAGAGTCACCAGAACAACCTCTAAGACCCAAAGCAATGCTGGAGAAGGTATTTTAGGGCAGGAGCTCAGCTCAGCACTCCTTTTGCCCTGACGGCCCTGGGCCCCTCCTTACCGCGTAGCAGGCACCCACCTTCTCACTGTCATTTTCAGTGAATTTATTCAGAAGCCGGGTTCGCTGCTGTCCTCTCAGGTTCCGCAGAAGGGAAGCCAGGATCGAACAGACGTGCTCTGGGTTGGGAAGGAGAAAAGAGAACATGCTGTGATCAGAGCAGTAATTATTACCTCTCTCCAAGCCTGCCCTGGTTCTATTGGAGGAGGAGTAAGTAGGCCTCCCTGACTGCCGCTATTGATTAATAAGACAAGAACCTAAACTGTGTCATTGCAAACCTGAACTGATCTTCACATACTGCACAAGAAACATATTCAAAAGCGATGATATCCTCAAGGACAACTTGAGCAAGTGAATCAAAACTAAGTTAGAATTTCTAGTCTGCCTGGAATTAATTGATTTTTATTGTCCACAACAGAACCTTAAACTAATCTCCCATTTGCAGAAATAACCTGTGAACAGAGTATGAATATCAGCTTTGAGATGAGTATATAAAGAACAAGTAAAATGTATTCTATCATATTCTCAAATTACCTTATACTCTTCCCAAGTAAACATCCCAGAATTAAGCAAGAAATATGATAGGGTTCCAGGGTCGCCACTTCTGGTGCAACTAAAACTCCCTACTTCAAGTTCGAAAGCAGCTGGACAGTAAGTACTTCAAAATGGTGACAATGCTTTTTGAGTTCACATAACCCACAGGCTTCTATTATGAGCTACTATTTTTCTACCTTGGGAAGAAGAGGGTAATTGAAGGGTATATTATAGGCTTTAGCTGTGAAGAGATTCTTTTCTTTAAAAAGAATTTTTTAAAATCAAGAATAATGACCTTGAAAAGGAGGCAGCAGAAGTCTAGTCGTGGAGAAATGGCAGAGTGAAGTTTATTCTGAAATAATGCCCACCGTGTGGGCAACAAATATTCTATTTGGAGAGGGACTAAGAACATCTTCACAGGTCAGACTTCCCTTGAATTCTCAGAAAGTCACTTGACTATTCATTAAAGCCACAGGTCGGCAATTACCATAGCACAGATTGAGTCTGTTTTTTCCTCACGTATGTCAGAAGTGTTCCTGCCTCTTCACGTCCTTGATTTCTCTCTTCTTAAAACATTTATTTAAAAAGAGAGAGAGAGAGAGAGAGAGAGAGCGAGCACGCACACGCCCAAGCGCATGAAGGGGAGGGGCAGAGAGAGAGGCAGAGAAACAATCCCAAGCAGGCTCCGTGCTGTCAGCACAGAGCAATGTGGGCTCGATCTCATGAACCTTGAGAAATCAAGAGTTGGACGCTTAACTGAGCTACCCAGGCGCCCCTATGTCCCCAATCTCTTAATGCTGGAGTAGGTTGGCATTCTATCTTCCACCTACCTTCACTTCCCTGGGAAGCCCCATGCTAGTCCCACGGCTTTTAAAACCACTTACAACGCGGGTCTGTGGGCCAGTCTTGTTCTCTGAACACAGACTCACGTGTCTGCCTTTCTACCTGCTTTCTGCACGTGGTTGTCAACAGCTCCTTTAAACCGAATACGTCCCAAATCAAACTCCCGATCTGCCTCCTCAGATCTGTTCCCCGCGGTCTTTTCCACCTAGTTAATGGCAACCAGGTTCTCCAGTTCCTCAAGCCAAAAACAGTGGAGATGTCCCTTATTCTCTCTCTCTTTTCTCACAGGTCCCATAGGAAAGAAACCTTGTCCGCTTTCTCTTCACATCATACCTAGAATCCCACCTCTTCTTTCTGCTGCCCCCACTGTGGCTACTTTGGTCCAAATCACCCTCATCCCTGGATGGAATACTCAACAGCCTACTTGTGGGGGTCTCTCTGCTTCCACTCTTGCCCCCCCCCCCCCCCCCCCCCCCCCCCCCCCCGCCCTGGCCTAATCTCCATAGAGCAGTCAGAATGATCCTTTAGGTTAAAACCCAAAGTCAGATCCCCTCATTCCTCTGTATAAAACCCTCTGATGGCCCCCAACTCACTCAGACTAAACACTGCTTCTAATGTCAGGCACACTCCTACTCTGGAGCCTCTGTGCCTGCTGTCTCCTCTACCCAAAATGCTCTTCACCAGATTATCTGCACGGCTCAGTCTTCACACCCAGTTTAATTCAGCTGTGATCTTCTCAGTGAGGCTTCTCCTTGACTCCCCTACTCAAAAAACACTTGTTGGCACAGCTAGTTAACTGGTGAAACAGGCAGAACTCAAACTTCAGCTTACTCATTCAGTCATTCACTGACCACTTGCTGGTCTTTGGGCCTGGCAAACGCTTGGTGCTCATGGCCCCCAAACAATCAACACATTATCCCTAACCTTGAGGAGCTCCTTGTCTAGTGGGGAAAACAAAACAATAATTACAGTACAGTGTGACAAGTTCCATCGCTGAGGTAGGCACAGGGGACGTGGGGAGCACAGATAAGGGATATCTGACCTAAAAGGATTACCAGTGGAGGTAACTAACAACTGAAAATCTTTAAAAAGCCCAAAACAACAGCCATGGCTGACAACCAGGTAGAGAAGAGGAGAGAGCACTGCAGGCAGAAGGAACAATATATGCAAAGGCCATGTCATATCCACATGGAAGAGGGGAGGCCAGTTAGGTGGCAGAGGTTGGATCATGAAGAAAAGTGGCAAGAATCTACTCACGAATTTTAAGCTGGGGAGGACAAGACTAAATTGGGAGTTTTGACCAACCCTTAGCAGCTAGTCCTTTTAGAGATGAAGATTAGGAAAATGTTTCTCTTTCCTGATGAATTTATTGTGCTTATCAGGGTTCCCTCTTTGCCTTGGCTGCTGGGAAGCTCAAAGATGAATTTATGCTCAACTATAGGAAACAATTTCTTTTACCGCCTTATTAGTGATTCCCTCCATGCTCCACCAATGGATTTTAAAACAAAAGTAATGGACGCACATGGTAAAAACCAGACTATACACAAAGGTATAAAATGTATTCAACAAATATTTATTGAACACCTAATATTTGTCTTTTCACAAACTCCTCTCACTACCCTTTTCCTCTTCCCAAGGGGAAGAAAACCTATAGGTAGGTATCTTGTGTACATTTTCAGAGGAGAGGAAAAAAAAAAATTATACCTTTCTATATCAGCACATATTTAGTTTTTTTCTAATGGCCATCTAGAATTCCACTGACATTATTTATCATAATTTAGTGCCTCACCCAATCATTAATACTTCAGGTGGTTTCCAGTTTTCGGTTGTTTGTTTGTTTTTGCTATTAGAAACAATGAAGCAATAAACATCCATGTGCACATATTCTGGCAAGTATACTTTAATTTCTGGTAAGGAATACACTTTTGCACGTGTGCAAATTCCTAAGAGTGGAATTGGGGGAGTCAAAAGCTATTTGCATGTGTCAAAAGACACTGACAAATTATTTGCCAAAAAGGTTGTACCAATTCTATGTCCACTCTCAGTGTATACACACACACACACACACACACACACACACACACACACGGATAATGGAAGCAGAATTACATATATATTATAAAAGAGTATCTGTTTTCCTATATCCTCGCTCAGATTGGATACTATCCAACTTAAAAATTATGACAACATGGAAGGTGAAAAATGGGATCTTTTTTGATTAGCATGTTTTTGTTCTTGTTACGCACAAGGTTGAGCACCTTTTCTGATATTTACTGACCCCCTGTATTGCTTTATGGGTGAACTGCCTGGCCTTATCCTTTGCCAATTTGATTCCTACAAGCTGTCTGTAAATGAAGAGCATTATCCTTTTGTCATGTATGTTGCAAATATTTCCCCCAGTCTGAATTTGTGTTTTGACAAATTCTTATTCAAACCTAAGGTTTAGTACCACCAGACCGTCCGCTGTAAGTGGCTTCAAATACCTAGTGGCAAGAAGTAGGGTACAATAATAATTGCCACCTATTGTGTATCTATGACAGTAGGCTGATTTGAGTCTGTACACAATTTTCTCATTGAATCATCACTACTAAGCTGTGAGAAAGGTACTATTCTCATCTTGTAAATGTAGAATCCAAGGCTCAGAGAGGTTAGTTAACTGACTTAAGGTACATGTCCTTCAGTCAGTGGTGGGAACTTAGGTTTGAACCTAAGATGCCTGACTGTAAACAGTAAGCTTCCCTCCTATGTTGTTATATGCTTCCCACATATAAAAGGTAAACATCAAAGCTTTTATAGATGAAAGATAAAACAGACCAGAAACTAAACCATGCAAAGCCTGACAATGTACTTCATGTGGCGCTCATTGTGTCCAAAAGATTGGCACTATGTAAATGTGGATTTAAAAAAAACTCTACAGTTTTAATGAGAGGAAAACGAAGCAAAAGGCCATATGGAGTAAGACATGAATAACAACCCCTCTTTCCTCTCTTTTACTGAATTACTCTTTCCAGAAGCGGTTTCTACCAGATTCCAAATAAAGAAGAGACTTTGGGTTTTCAGCAGCTCTGCAGATACTGAACCAGAACTTCTCAATTTTCCCTTTGACTCTTGCTGATTGAATGGACGGGAAAGAGCTACAAGAGACCATTCTCTGTATACCTGAGCAAGGCGGGGGGTGGGGTGCTGGCGGAACGGTGAGGTATCAGGAGCTGTAATTTTCAAAGAGGGAAATGTAATACACAGAATAATCTTTTTGGCACTAGGTCATATTAGCATGCATTCCTATAGCTCATCCCAGCCTGGAGCAGGAGAGATCTTGATGAACTGCAGGGGTATATACTAAGAACAAATGGCATTTACCTATTTGTTTGGGATTCTAAGTAAAGAACAGGTTGTCAATTTCAGGAGACCTGAAGCTGCTTATGTACCTTCCATCTCTCCGGGCGCTGTGGCTGGCTGGTGCCTGCCAGACAGGAAAACACTTCAGCCACCTCAAGTTTTACACTTTCTTTCCCTCCCTCCCTCTCTCTCTCTCTCTCTCTCTCTCTCTCTCTCTCTCTCATACACACACACACACACACACACACACACACACACACACACACACACACAGAGTTTCATTAGCCCCTAATAAATGTAGCTTCCCTAGGAACAGATTTCAGCCCAACGTGGTGTCAATTTTTCATGCACCAAGAAGATGGGGAGAGCTGCTGGCACAGAGAGCAGGGGAGATAACAGGTTT